GAGAAACAAACTCAGGATTGTGGCATTTAGGCAGTAAAGTAATCAGAGAGTGATTGATACTCTTAAGAATTTGGCCAGAAGCAAAAAAACTTTGAATGAGAGCACAGAAATCAGTTTTAATAATGGACCAGAAAGCTTGAAAAAAGAAAGACGTCATACCATCTAAACCTGGAGCTGAATTGGAGTCTATACTGAAAACAGCTTCTTTGATTTCCTCTTCTTCAACTGGTGCAATGAGTTCTGAATTAAGGTCTGAATTGATTTTGGATGGGATGTCTCTAAGCAGCTCCTCCCCTTGCACATTCCCCTTGAGGGTCCACTGCAGCCCATCTATCTCCTAAATTAAGATTTTTACAAACTGTCTGAACAAATTTTTGTTTTTTTTTTTTTTTGTTTCTGAAAGAAAAAGGAAAATGGGGTGATGGAGTCTATAAACCTCCTTGATTTGGGAAACTGTAGAGGGCCCACCCAGCCCTCTACAGTTCCACACCATAGCCTTCATTTGGGAGTTGGGGGCCCATTAGGGTTGGCCTCCTTCACCATTTGATCTTCAATTTTCTGTTTTTTCCCCATATCTTGGACTTGACTTGGTTCAGTTTCAGCTGGTGTACCTTCAACAGACTTAGCTGGAGATGAAACTTTCCTCTTATTCTTTGAAGTTTTGGTGGCAGAAGACTGTTTTGGCAGTATGGATTTTGGCAATGTTCTTCTCTTCCAGCTCATTTTTTTGGGTCCTGAAATACTGCCCTCAGCAATTGAGGATGATTGTTGTTCTTGCACATCTGTCATACAAAGGTCCCCTACTTTATCTGGCATGGTAGGTTGTGAGTGGTGATCTGTAGTAGCTTGGGATATTGGGTTATGGGTGGTTTGAAGCTGAGAGTTGACTTTTGAGGGTTCTGATGTGCTTTTGAATATGGTGAGATCTATGGTGCGAGGTTCATATGGAGTAAGAACAGGTTTGGATAAGATTTGAGTATGCTGAGTTTGGTGTAGGTGAGTTTCATTTGACATGGGTATTATGGTGGTTTGGTAATCTTGGTTGGATGGTGGAGTATGTTGATTTTCTGGATTTGATTTTGAAGGTGTTGGTTTATTGGACGCTTCTGTGGATGGTTTGGGTGACAGAGTATGCTCATTAGTGGTGGGAATTTTTTGAGAATGAGACTGGAATTGGTTGGCCGAAGAGGGTTGCGAGTTGGAATTGCTGCTATTCGGAGGAAAATAAATATCTGATGCTCGAAGCCAATCCCCGTATGATCCAGTAACCAACTTGTTGTGGCGAATATCATCAGCTCTTTTCTCACAGAATTTGTCTTGATGCCCCACTATACCGCAATAAGAGCATAAGCCAACAAGTCTCTCATATTTGAGTTCGACCGCAATTTTCTTTTCCCCCATTTGAATGTTAACGCATCGAAGGATAGGATGTTCAATATCCACTGTCACTAGCACCCTCATACATTTGCCAGCAAGAATTCCTACTTGCGGGATAGCAACATCTTTCACCCTCTTGAAGGCTTTGCCTATTTTCATCCCCACTTCCTCAGTGATCCAGTTAATAGGAATGTTCCAGAGTTGAACCCAAAAATCCAATTCCTTGAAAGACTGATGGTTAGGGCCTAATCATTCTTCCCATTCTCTTAGGATGGGGAATTGGTTGTCGAACGACCAATTAGCGGCTTTGAATACTTTCATTTTATCGCTGACCTCAGAGAAAACAAATTGAAAGTAGTTCTGATGCAGCTCTTTGATTGTCACCTGAGATCTGATCTGCCACATTTGCCCGATCACCCGTTTCAGACCCAAAATTTTCACCTTTTTTTCCCCTAAGACTTTACCAAATAGACTTCTTTCAAACTCTATTGCACTCGCTCTAATATCATATTTGGCAATAGGAATAATTTCTGCTTCTTTTTCCGTTTCTGATAGTTGGATAGAGTTGAGCTGGGATGATAGATCCACCTCCATGGAGAAGACCTTAATTCAGAATGCTTGTGCACTTTTTGAAAGAAGAGGAATCTGAAACTAAGAGAAGACAAAACATAAACCACGAAAAGAAAACCCTAATAGAAAAGAAAAAAACCCCAACAAGGAAAACCCAAAAAAAAAAAAAAAAGAAATTTAACCGGGACCTGAGTAAATTGGAAGTATAATGCTATAGCTGGGAACCATCCTTCTACAGATACAAGATTCAGCCGACCAGCGGAATAAAGCTCTTGAAGAGAATTCAGCCGTCAAGCGGAATTTTTTTTATTTTTTTTCCTTCGTGCGTAGTAGTTGTTGAAAGTAAACTTTGTGGTTATTATAAAAATCACATTTTCCATAAAAAAAAAAATACATTCACATATTCCACAAATTCAAACATGGACGAGTGCTAACGTTTGAGTATTCATGTCTTTTTAAAAGTTCAATTTTATGTATGGTGAATGCAATGATAATTTTTTACTTAATTTACATATATAAGTTAACATGTATTAATTGTTGTTTAGGGATATGCATATGCTAGAGAAAGTTGTATTCTCGAGGAAGAGAGTTGTTTTGTTTAGGTATGCATTTATCAAGAAAAATCATGGACTCATTTAATGGTATTCCGATAGGATTGTTTTCTATTTGTTTCAAATTTTTATTAATTAAATTATTTTGAGTTAAATACATGAATTTATGTAATGCTTTAATAAATTAAAGGGTCAATTGCATAAAAAAACTTTTTTTTTTCTATTTGTTTTAAACTGAACGATAAATATAAAAAAATATTAAATAACTTATAACTTTTTTTACGTATAATTTATACTTTGTTCAAACTCTATTTGTTTTCTATTTGTTTCAAACTGAACGATGAATATAAAGAAATATTAAATAATTTATAATTTTTTTTACGTATGATTTATACGTTGTTCCTTGACGTTATTTTTCTTTTAATATAACTACACTAGTATTTAAATTATAAGGCGATGATTTATCACCAGTCCTATTCACACACGGTCCGACGGTCCGACCCAATTACCTTAGGTTTCATTTTGTACGCTCTCGCACCGGTCTCCTCCAATATATAAGCCTCAGATGTC